TTAAAAGAGGACAGGAAGACTCTATTTTTAAAAAACAAATGAATGGTGGGCTGTAAAATTGCAAATTACTTCTTTGAAAAAAAGGTTGAATGGAATGATTTGATTCAACCTATTTGTTGACTATAATGTCCATTGAAATCAGTGTGATGGCAGAGGGAACTTTAATGGTCCAGGCTTTAGAAGGATGCATGGAAGTTTGAAAGGGGAACATGTCATCCTGGGGGGAAAAATGTCTGGCTAGAACCAGTGGGTATAATGCAGCAAAGAGGCAGAATCTGAAAAACAACAATAAGAAATACTCTAAAGACAGCAAAATAGTGCCTTTAAAGCTGTTTCTTTTGGATTGAGGACAAGGAAAGGATTGTCCCAGTGCTGAGGCAGATGGTATAATGTTACATGATGAGGAAAGAAGGAGTTTTCAACTCGGCTTTTCTGTTTTCCCTATCAAGAAAAACGGTCTTTGATCTAGAAATGTTAAACAAATCTCTAGAAAAGGAAATTGAATCTGCGTGAGAAATGTAGGTGAGAAAAAAAAAAAACAGGAAGCAGTGAACTCAGATTTTTAAGTTCAAGTGAAAGGATACACAGAACAGTGTCTTGAATGTGGTGAATGAACTGAATTAACCCCCACCTGTTCCAAAATAACTTGCAAATGTAAACTCAGTCTTTGACAACTCATGAGGAATTTTAGAACCAAAGAATGAGAAATTGAGTACATTTTCTGTTTTTCACATGGAATAGAAATGAATGTTGATGTTTTCCGAAAATCCAGAAAGCATTATTAAAGAAATTATGAACATTTATAAAGAAATCCAAAAATTATTAAGGAATCACTGGTATTTACTGAGACTATAAAAACAAATGTCATTTCCTCTTGTGGTGACATTTGTAGTGCCAATAGACAGGACAGAAGCTGGTTATCAGGAAATTATTTTATCAAAGTTTCCTGTAATGCCTCATGCGTAAGATATAGAAAAGTGGGCTAGAAGATTGGGTGCATTTAGAGTCTGTAGTACAGCCTCACCCATCAACTGAGAAAGGTCCCTACTGACGAACCAGATGGCTATATTTTTGCTCCAGTCCCATCTGACATTTTGCTTTTCAATATTGCAAAAAGTTACAGGATGCCTATTTGTCAATTCCACAGAAACCCCTAATCTAGGATTTGGAAATATGTCTGGTAGATAAAATATTCATAAGATTTCCCTTTGTTATAACAAAATAAACATGATGATCTTTAACTAGATGCAAAGTGTTGAATTGGGTTAAGAAAAGACCAATTACACAAATAGCAGATGAAGTCAAACTTCACTTCCTCTGATGTGGAAAGACAGATTTATTTTCAAGGGACCAAGAGTCCAGTGATGTTGTGACTTCTTAAAAGACCTCTAACAATGGGCCAGAGTGATAGTATAGTGGGTAGAGCACTTGCTTTGCACACAGCCCACCAGGGTTCAATCTCTGGAACCCTCATTTTGTCCCCCAAGCCTTCCAGGAATAATTTCTGAGTGCATAGCCAGGAGTTTGCCCTGAATATTTCCAGGTGTGCCCCCACCCCAAAACAAGTCAATAGCAACAACAAAGACCTCTAAATATTCAAGGGTACAGGCTAAAGGGGCAAGAGGTTGCCTCCAGTCTAGGCTGTTGATATTTTGTTTGATTCTTGGCTAGGAGATATGCCCTTAAGGGGCAAACACGTGTGCACAGACTTCTTAGAACAAAATGATAAATAACCTGGAAGTTCTAACTTTGAAAGAAGAAAACTCAGTGGATCATGGTCCCTATGTTTAATGAGTATTCTTTATGTAAAATATTCTAGCTCTTTAGATTCATCTAATTTCAAAAATTATCTAACAACACATTCTACAGGTACTATGTCTACTGATCTCCAAATTTCTCATAATATAGAATACAATATTTCACTGCATCCTCAGCATAACTTAAAGTAATACCTGACATTTAGCTGACAAAAAGGGGTTATTGGATGAGTGGATGGATGGAAAAATTCTTCAGAAGTCATGTTCTGCAAAATGGCATCTTTTTCCCATTAACTAGAGTTTAAAGCACTACATATAAATCTCTGTGGCCATTTTTATTCGTCCCAGAGATCAATAAAAAGATGGTCCCAGGTCTAGGAGGAGCATATGAGGAGGGTATAGTGCTGCCAGCAGGTCAATCTGTACCTGTGAGGTGAGTTTATCACCAGCCTGATGGTGCCTTCAGACTTCTAGATACCCCAGAATTGCTGCTGTGCCTTTGGCCAGACCCCAACAACTTGGGGCCAGGTTTACCAAGAAAGTAAACGGCTAAAAGTTAGGTATGTGGGAGATACACCCACAAGCCACCTCCAGCTCAGATATATAATTGAAGGCAAGGCCTCTCTGGTTCCTGATCAAACTGCTTAATGCCCTGATCCCAGAGACTCAGAAACAAGTCTCGGAACCCAGCAGCTTTTGGAGGAAGTGTGTCTGGTCCCTGCAATAGGTTACCAGTCCTGGGCCACCCCAGGGGGTAAAGGGTGCTGTTCCTCTGAAGGCTCCCTCTTGGCAGCTCGGTGGCCGCCATCCTCCAGAGGCGATTGGACAGTCAGGTTTGGGCCCACAGTGACGAGACATGTGTGGGGCCTCCATGGAATGGGGGTGGAGCCAGCCCTTTCCTCCCCGCCCCAATGAGACCTTGAGTCACCGCCCATGAATGGCCTCTCTAGCTCCTGATCATGCTACTTAACGGCCATAATCCCAGAGACTCAGGAACAAATATTGGAACTCAGAAGGATTTGGCAGAAATCCCTCCAGATTTAATTATTAAAATTTCAAAATTCCAAAATTGCATGGCCACTACTGTGACTACATGACATCATATGTTATTCATAATTAGCAATAGAAAACAAATTGTCTACAGTTGCCTTTTCGGCAGATCTGAGTGTTGGGGTAAAATCCCAAATAATAATGGTGGGTCTGGTGTTGAAATATTGAATATATTCAAAGTAGTGAGTAATGTGGAAGTCATCTGCCCCACAGGTAGGAGAAGGGTGTGGGATTGGGGGTAATCTGGAGGTTTTGATGGTGGAAAATGGGCACTGGTGGAGGGACGTGTGTTTCATCATTGTGTGATGAGACTTAAACCCGAAAGCTTTGTAACTGCTCTCACGGTGATTCAATAAATAAATTTATAAAAAGGAAAAAAAGAAAAGTAAGGTGGAGTTCATGCCCAATTCAATCAGCCTAATCAATGGCTGAATTAATAGCAATACTCCTACATTTAAAAAAGAGCATATGAGGAGGAGGGAGAGAGGTTATTGATAAACAGTGAGGAGCACAGACTTAAAAGGAGATTCACTTGAGCTCAAGCCCAGGCTTTACTTATTGTGAGTTTATTTACTTATTGTGAGTTTGAACAAGTTACTTGATCTTTTTAAAACCTCTTGACCAATCAAATATTATGTGGTAATAAGGGAACCTACTGGTGAATTTCTTGCAAGGAATAAATAAGATGCTGCTTATAAGGTATATAATGTGCACATACTGAACAGCATTTAATTATGCTTAACCTTGACTTCATTGGCTAACCAGTGAAGAAGAAGAGGGTCCAAGAGGTTCCACAAATTTTCTAAGGCCACACAACTATATCATTGCACCTGTCAGTAAAAATGTTTTAGAATGACCAGGAGCATTGCAATATAATCCATGGTCTCATAGCAGAATGAATACTAGAAGGTCACCTTCAGGTTAGTAACTACTCAAATGTAGTACTGGACTGTCCTCCCATTGTTCATGGATTTGCTCGAGCGGGCCCAGTAACATCTCCATTGTGAGACTTTTTACTGTGTTTGGCATATTGAATACATCATGGGTAGCTTGCCAGGCTTTGCCATGTGGGCGAGATACTCTCAGCAGCTTGCCAGGCTCTCCAAGACGGGTGGAGGAATCAAACCTGGCTTGGCCTGGCTGGGCCGCGCGCAAGGCATACACTCTACCGCTGTGTATCGCTCCTTCTCAAATGCATTCCTTTTTTTTTTTTTTTAACATTTTGGTATATAAACACTTATCACAGTTAGTATCAAACCTTGAATGCCTAATAGTAGTGTCAGTTTTCTTCTGGTTCTTCTGTATAATAAAAGCCACCATTTAAGTGATAAGTGTATTGAGTTACCTTTCTGCTTATGAGACTCAAAGCTAATATTGTTTTGACTTTCCTTTGTACAACAAGCCAGAGTGCCCATCACCAGTTGTCTGTTACTAAATGTAGTAGGAGCTTCCAGCCTTGTGCAGGGAGGCATACCCGAACTGGATAATCAGTAGGCACTTGATTTAGGGGAGGAAAAAGATGACTTAGTGGGAGATGCAATACCCAAATGTAGAGACATTTCAGCCGGAGAGATAGTACAGTGGGTACGGTCCTTGCTTTGCATGTATCAGGCATGGCTTCAATCCTCAGCACCTTATAGGATCCCCCTGAGCCTGCCCCAGAGTGATCTCTGAGCACAGATCCAGGAGTAAGCCATAAGCATTGCTGGGTATGACCCCAAAAATGTTTGTCATTTGCAGGCTGAAGCCATAATACAGCCATAGGGTGCTTGCCCTCATGTGGCAGACCTGGGTTTGATCCCCAGCACTACATCTGGTCCCCTGAGCACAGAGCCAGGAATAAGTCCTGAGCACTGTGTGTGTACTTAGTGTGGCCCTAAAACCAAATATAAAACAAACCAACTGTACAGAAGTTTCACAGAAGACTGAGGAGGAAGCTGGAGAGGGTCATTTATACTAGAAGATCACCTTCGGGGTCAAGTATTCCTGCCCTCTGTGTTTAAGAGGCCCTCCCCAGAGCAGGCTCAGGTGGGGTTTGTCATGTCTGTGACCTTGAGGCATCAACAGGCTGTCTTAGGCTGCTTCCTGCTGAGACCTTTTAGCTGTAAATGTGGCCCGCCAAAGCGGCTCCTGAGCAGTTTGATCATGGGGAGAGAAACGCCAATCTAACCCATTTGCTCTTGATTTCTTAAGCAGATTCAGGCACACAGGATGAAGCACAGCTTTTGCAGGAATGGTTTGAGCTGGTTCTGGAGAAGAATAAATTAATGCGCTATGAGTCGGAGCTACTGATCATGTAAGTAAGGCAACACAGATAACAATAAAACCCCAAAGCAAAAGTGGGGCGGGAGTGAGGGCGGGGGCTCTCTCTCCTAGGCCGAAGTCGCAGGATTTCTTCTCCTCGTGCATACAGAATTGTGATTGAGACAAATTGGTATTTGATGTCTTGCATATCAAGCTGGCATTAGTGCTGCAAAGCTTCAGTTGTCTGTTCTTTCTGTGGAGTCCTGTGGTGAAAATAGATTGCAGGTAATCAGGTTGTTGGTAGAGGGTATTTGGATAAGGCTTTTGGTGAGAGTGTGTGTGTGTGTGTGTGTGTGTGTGTGTGTGTGTGTGTGTGTGTGTGTTATCTTTGGGGTCACACTCAGAGGTGTTCTGAAACTATCTAGATCCATGCTTGGGGTGTGCTCCTGTCAGTGATTGGTGGTGCTGGGGATCAATCCTGGGTTTCTGGCTTTCGAAGTATGCATACTAGGCCTTCTAACTATCTCAGCAGCCTTGGATAAGGTATTATCAATCTGTCCCTGTCCAATGGACCGGGGCCCTCCTCTTGTCACATGCATGTAATTGAGCATGTGGATGGTGTGAAGGACTTGATTGGAACTGTCCAGCCACTTCCAGATGGCTTTAATGAACAGAAGGACAGAGTTCTGTTTGTGTCCTTTTTGGACGGGAGGTCCAATTGGAAAATCAGAAGACAGAGCTGAATTTCAGCATACCCTCGAGAAGTTGAAGATAACTCTGCTACTGGCTCCCACTTTGGGGAAAAGAATTGGGACCCACTAAGTACCATAAGCTGTGTGGGGTGAGGCCACTTGGCCGTCTTGTTTCACTCAGCTGTCCCAATCCTGAGAGGTGATTTTAGGGATCTCTGAAGGGGTCTAATAAATTCTATTCCTGTTCCCTGTCTGGGATCTGAACCAGATGAAAAATAATGTCGCTGTGTGGAACAGGAACACATCTCCTCTGTTGGCAATAACGGTTAGCCTGGCTAAACTCGAGGGAGCCCAGGGGGCTTGCTAATTGTGTTAGTTTCCAGGGCTGGAGGAACAAATTACCGCACACTGGGTCACTTACAACAGCAGAAATGTATTTTCTCACAGTTCTCAAAGACAAAAGCTTGAAGCCAAAATCTGAAGAGGGCCGAGTTTTGGGGGTGGGGTTTGAGGTAAGGGACCCATCCAGATTCTGGAGGCTCCAGGCCTCCCTTGGCACCTCTCCAATGTCTGTTCTTCACATGATCCTCTCAGTGTGGCTGACTTCTCATCTCTGTCTCTATAACAGTGCTGGTCTTTGGCTTTAGGATCCACTGGGGTCTTTAACTTAATTGCACCTGCAAAGACTCCCCGTCAGCTCCCCCCTCCCTCGACCGCTGCCGCAGAGCTAAGGTCATCTTCACAAGTCCCAAAGGTTGGAACATAGACATATCTTTGAGGGGGTTCATCATGCATGCTTAGACATACTTATCTGCCTAGTCACAAAAGTGACCCCATTGGTTTCTGAGTGACAAGGATTTGAACTTAGATGGAGGTGGTGTTGGGGGGTGGGAGTAAGATCTTGTCCATAATATCTGGGGATATCTAGCCGTACCTGGAAACAATTTTAGTTGTCACAACTGACAGTCCCTATTGTTATCTCCTGGGTAGGGGCTGAGGGTGACATTGAACAGTTTACTCTGCCCGGGATGCTCCCTGCCCCCACCAAAAGGGATTCTCCAGCCTAATATGGTAGTGGTATCAAGTTGGAGAAATCTTGCCTAGGTAGACTGGAGATAGCATGACTCAGAGCAACAGGGTCTAATGATACTCAGAGTAATAGCCGGAGTAACCTGCCTGCCCTGGGCAGGCTTATCCAAGAAGAGAGAAGGTCTAAGCTGAGCCCTCCTGGTCAGTCCTGCCCAAATTGGCATCTCCTGGGGTGGGGGGGTGAGTGAGTGAGTGTCTGCAAGAAGGAGACCAAGAATTTTATTCACTGAGCTCTATTGATCTGGAAAGAAATGCCAGGGATAGGGAAGCAGGGGTCAGCTGGAGCAATTGTGTTTTCCATCACCTTTCAGATCAATGTGTATGCTGAGACTCTGACATTAGTCATTCTATTCAGGTCCATTGGATCACAAAACTCTTTGAACACAGGCATCTGGGCTAGGTCTGAATTAGAAATTTTCTGCAACAAGAATGTATCAAGCTCATTCTATGTGCCCGAAGTTGGGTTCTGTGGAAATGAATATAGTCATGGTTCCTGTCTTCTAGCTCTTGTGGCTTTAGAGAAGACCCACAGGCAAACCTCTAGGCGAGAGTGATAAGAAAGTGCAACCAGGAATTTCAAGGAGATGTGGAACAGCAGTGTAGGTGGCTTCCTGAGGGAGGCGGTGTACTCTCAGAACTCTCCCTGCAAGTCAGGCTGTACCATGGCTGCTATGTCACCATCGGCAGGGATGGTGTGGCCTCAGCAGCACATTGAGGAGACTTCTGCAGTCAATTATTTCCTCCCGAGATCGCTCTTTAGGAGGATCTGAGTGGCTCACTTCCTCTGGCTTCACAAAGGGCCAAGAAAATGTGAAGGTCAATAAAGAAAGGCAGAATAGGGATGGGAGATAGTACAGGTCAAACATGCTTGCTTAACTGCAATCTACTCACCCTGGTTCATCCCTGGCATCGCATGGCCCCCAAGCACTGCCCAGTGCAGTCCTGGAGGCCCCCAGCACTGCTAGGGTTCTGGAGTCATCTCGGTTACTGCAGGGCTGGGGTAGCACCAAATCCTCAGGTCCTTGTGTTGAACCATGAGCCTGGTTGGCTGGGAATTGTCAAGAGGCTCTTGGACTCTTAGGCACCACTTGGGATAAGGAAGGAAAAGAGGAAGGAAGAAAAGAAAGGAAGGAAAGGAGGGAAGAAGGGAGGGAGGGAAGAAGGGAGGGAGGGAGGGAGGAAGGGAGGGAGGAAGGGAGAAAGGAAGGAAGGAAGGAAGGAAGGAAGGAAGGAAGGAAGGAAGGAAGGAAGGAAGGAAGGAAATCCTCATTTAAAATGTACTAAGGGTACCGGAGCCATAGTACAACAGGTAGGGCATTTGCCTTGCATGCGGCTGACCAGGGTTCAATCCTCAGCATCCCTTATGGTCCCTGAGCACCTCCAGAAGTAATTATTGAGTGCACAGCCAGGAATAAGTCTGAGCATCGTTGTGTGTGACCCAACCCCTCACCCCTCCCCCCAAAAAAACCCACAAAGTAGGGAAAATAATTCAGCTTCAGGTATTTAGTTGGGGAAAAGTAAAACTCAGTAACTTTGTGAACCAAACAAACTTTGGAAAGAAGGAATTCAGACATAGGCCCTTGGGCTAGAATACAAAGATCCTCCTAGGATAGAGGAATGAGGAACTATGAAGCATAGCTCAGTTTACTGCTGTTTTCACTAAGATATATGGGCTGGAGCGATAGCACAGCGGTAGGGTGTTTGCCTTACAAGCGGCCAACATGGCTGACCTGAGTTCGATTCCTCCGCCCCTCTCGGAGAGCCTGGCAAGCTACCAAGAGTATCTCGCCCCGCACAGCAGAGGTTGGCAAGCTACCCGTTACGTATTCGATATGCCAAACACAGTAACAACAAGTCTCACAAAGGAGACGTTACTGGGCCTGCTCGAGCAAATCAATGAACAATGGGAGGACCGTGATTCGTGATAGAATTAAAAACCGCATTTTGTAAAAAAAAAAAAAGAATATTGAACATCAAGGCAGGGATACTGGCTGACATCATAGTGGAAATGGTAAAAATAGTGACAGTAACAAGGGGGCAAAGCAAAGTGACCCTGCAATGGATGTAGACTGCATGTGGGGCAGGAATCAGACTTGCCATGTCAAATGCAGGAAGCCCAAACCTGCAGCCACCACCTCAGACTTCTGCCCCATCTGCTTGGGACTGCCATTCTCCTAAACATTTCAGAATTTCATCCCCCAAAGATTTGGGGATGCTCCCCAATGCACATGACTCAGCACCTGGGAGCCTACACACTCTCTGTTGTGAATGGAAGCATCCTGGGCATGCAACATGCAGGAAGTTCCAGAAATTCACCAAAAACTGATGTCACTTCTTTATTTATTTTGACTTATTTCCCCCCTTTTCAGTTATTTTGGGTCACACCAGCAGAGCTCAAGGCCTATCCCTGGCTTTGTGCTCAGGAATCACCCCAACAGTGATCAGTGGGGCCATATTTGGTGCTGGGGAATCAAACCTGGATCAAACACAAACAAGACAAGTGTCCTATCTACTGTAGTTCTTCTTCCTCCTTCCCCTCTTTCTCCTTTTACTCATTTCTCCTTCCATCTTCCTTCTCAGAGAATGAAATGCATCCAAGAGACGATGCAGACTTCACCAAAGAAGAGAGAGTCCTATAAAGTAAAAGAAAGGAGGGTCTGGAGCAATAGCACAGCAGGTAGGGTGTTGGCCTTGCACGCGGTCAATCCGGGTTTGATTCGCAGCATCCCATATGGTCCCCTGAGCACTGCCAGGAGTAATTCCTGAGTGCAGAGCCAGGAGTAATCCCTGAGCATCACCGGGTGTGATCCAAAAAGCCGAAATATATATATATATATATATATATATATATATATATATATATATATGTAAAAGAAAGGAATCACACACTGCACTTTGGGGTGCATCTTATTTCACCCTTACACTTTGCTGCTCTTCTTGATAGAAACACTGACCCCCTGGCTCCCCAACAGGACGACTCCAGGCCTCATTCAGTCTGGTCTTCACATCTGTAAGCACACAGTGGCCTGAGTTATATGGCCTTCACTGGCACCAAAAGCTCTGTTCTTGTTCTCCTTGTTTTCTTGTTTTGGACCATCAGAGACTGGGGAGGTGTTAGAAGTTTGAGTTTCTGATGGTCATTATTTATTCCCTGAGATATTCCAGAACTCTCTTCACTGTCCATCTTTTGCTTTTTTTTTCTTTTTGAGTCACATCCGGCATTGCACAGGGGTTACTCCTGGCTCTTACACTCAGGAATTACCCCTGGTGGTGCTCGGGGGACCATATGGGATGCTAAGAATCAAACCCGGGTTGGCCGTATGCAAGGCAAATGCCCTACCCGCTGTGCTATTGCTCCAGCCCCTTCATTGTCTATCTTGAGGTTGGAGGACTGAGAGGTCTCCCTGGCATCTGCTGAGATGGCCCTGCTGCTCTGTCCTCTCTCATGTCTAACACAGCCATGCCGTCCTGCTTCCGCTGCAGCACAAACTTCCATTTTAATAAGGAAGAAAGGCTGGATCGGGCAACTCTATATGAGTGAATTTGCTCCTGGGTCTCCATAAACCAGGTACTTACCACACTTGCATAAAATTTCATCCCCAGGGCCCGAGAACTAGAATTAGAAGATCATCAAAGCAGACTGGAACAGAAGCTAAGAGAGAAAATGCTCAAGGAGGGTAAGTATGATGAAATGTTGGAACTCCGCTTAGAGATGTCCCTTCACCCCAGAAAGACACGTGAACAGAAATCTACTTTCTTGGGTTATAAAAGTGGTGTTTTGCTCCATGCCACATGAGAACAGAAGCAAAGTCACTAATTCGCACAGGCACTCATTCATTCATTCAGTGCATATTTGCAGAGAATCTAGAATGGAATGGGCCTGGCAGATGGTGAAATGTCAGCTACCCTTGCCTGTGTCTTAGGAGCGAGATGAACTCCCAGGCCCCTGGCCACAATACAGCATAATAAGGACCATGGGACAGGTGCTCTGGGAGCACAGAGTCAGGTGAGCTTAGCTCTGCACGCAATGGAGATGTTAAAGGAGGCACCCTTGCCAGCATGTGTGGCTCTAGGGCCCCACAGCTGAGAAAGTGGCTCCCACTAAGGAGTTGCAATAAACTTAGTAGACATGATAAACTAAGTTTGCATCAATTGGCTGCAGCCTGGAGGCATATTCACTTTGCTTCCTTACTTTTAGGCCTAGGTCTAAAGAACAGGTGAGACCATGCATCTCATGGAGCCAGTAGTCCACCTCCCTAACAGCCTGTCTGGGTCAGAGCCAGCACTTAGTGAACTGACATCGCCAGAGTGATCGTCAGCATTGAGGCATTTGATCCCCATTCTACAGATTCAAAAATGGACCCTCTAAGGACCTGGAGCTTAGATTTAGGGACAGACCACCATAGACACAGGGTCTCCTACACTTGCCCACAGTGAAGAAATTATTTCTTTGTAGCCACAAAATTTTATAGTTAACCCAGAGTTCCCAAAATTTATTTGGCCTTACTGCCCCCTTTTCAGAAAAAAATAATTGGTCCCCCTCTAGCCCCCTCCCCAGAAATCTACTTTCTTTAGGAAACAAACATAAAGTGACCATCCCACCCTCACACACACACAATTTCGCTTGAGGCTACTACCAAGGAAGCCCCCTGACCCAAACCCCCTGGGGGGTATTGTTCACTTCAGGAAACATCTAAATAAATCTTTAGAGTTTTAAACTGCCCCAAAAATATAAAAGCAGTTTATATTTTATTTGTTTTAGGCCAAGGTACCATGATTTGTCTCGGAGAGCCTGGCAAGCTACCGAGAGTATCTCGCCCGCACGGCAAAGCCTGGCAAGCTCCCCGTGATGTATTCAATATGCCAAACACAGTAACAACAAATCTCACAATGGAGACGTTACTGGGCCCGCTCAAGCAAATCAATGAACAACAGGAGGACAGTGCTACAGTGCTGCCGTGATTTGCAATAACTGTTCATGATCCTGTTTCATGTACATAATATTCCAGTACTTCATCCTCCACCAGATTGCTCACTTCCTCCCTGTTGTCTTGGTGCCCCCCCCTACTGTCTCTTTTGGAGGAGGTTGGGGGGAGGGAGGTTTCCATGGGTCCATCAGAGACAGAATACAAGAGGATTATTTTTTTCTGGGTTATTAAATAGAGATCATTAATAATAGAGTCTATCTAAATTAAAAAGTAGGTATAGAGCTAATAGTAAATAATATCTAATTTACACATCTATTAAAAACGTGTAATAGAGCAATAACACAGTGGTAGGGCTGGAGCAATAGCACAGTGATAGAACGTTTGCCTTGCATACAGCTGACCTGGCCGACCCGGGTTTGATTCCTCCGCCCATGCAGGCAGAGCCTGGCAGGCTACCAGAGACGTATTTGATATGCCAAACACAGTAATAACAAGTCTCACAATGGAGATGTTACTGGGCCTGCTCGAGCACTTAAAAGTTTAAATGGTTTTGATTCAGGCTAGTAAACTAAATCTCATCAAAGTCCCCTTTGACTTATTATATTTAAAGAATATTATTATACTTAAAATATTCTTGCCAAGGAGCAAAAGTCATACATGATCTTCCTTCTCTCAAGTACAAAACACACACACACACACACACACACACACACATACACACATGTATTTTGTTTGATTTTTCTCTTTCTGAGCCCTTCTTTCACAAAAACTTCATCTTATTCATTAACAAGAGGGGAAAGAAAAAAAAAAGGACTTTATTTATCCCTCTCTGGTGAACTCAGTCTGATGCAATCATTTAACAGTCCCTGCAGGTAAAGCCAAGTCTCTGTGGCACACAAGTGCTCAGTCTTGCAGATGGCTCCCCCTCGCTTCTGCTTTTGTCCCTACAATACTGCCTGGTAGTGAGGAAAGGCCAGACCAAAAAACGGGTGGCAAGAGGAGGGTTTGTGCTGAGAATGGGCTGCAGGGTTTGGGTCCCCATGCTGTCTCCATTATCAGGCTGTCATGTCCCTGGTTTTGTGGCAAAGGTGCGTGGTCTTATCCTCCAGAGCCTGGCCCTTCTCTCAGCATACCAGAAGCCCAGCAGTGAGCCTCTCTCTCAGCCTGTCCTTAGCCCAGTTTCCATTCCCCTTGGCCAAACTGTCTACCTGATACTCCTCACTGTGGCGCCTTCTTTTTTTTTTTCTCTTTTTGAGCCACATCCCGCAATGCACAGGGATTACTCCTGGCTCTGCACTCCTGGTGGTGCTCGGGGGAAATATATGGGATGCTGGGAATCAAACCTGGGTCGGCAAATGCCCTACCTGCCTTGCTATCACTCCAGCCCTTGTGGAGCCTTCTTTATTCTGGCCAGTCACCTTTCGTAATTCTGGAGCAAGTGAGTTCTTCAAGGCTCCACCCATGGTGTACCCTGTAGACTGGTCCAAGGTGTCCACCTTGTCCTTCTTTGCCGAGCCACAAAACACTGGCCTGTTTCTGTGTTCCTGTGATATGAGGTGACATTTCTGGTTGATGCAGGGCCTTCCACAGCTCAGCCTGGAGAGATCCAGCATAGGACGCTCATCTTTTCTTTTCCCTCCCTTAAGACATGGGGTACAAAGGCAAGGGTGTTGTTTTATTGCCTGTTTGTCCTATTTACTCTCTTCCTGACCCCAAGCTTGATACCAAGGACTGTGGCAACTTTTCCACTTCAGAATCGAGTTCATTACCTATTACCTGGTACCAGGTATGGTACCTGGAAGGGACTCCAGGAATTTGGAGAGGTTTCTTTTGCTTGGGGGCTGGAGAGTTACTACAGGCGTTAAGGCATTTCCTTGCATGCGGCTGAGTTTAGTCCCCGGCAGTACCTGTGGTCTCCAGGAGTGCCTAGCACTGTGTAAGATGAGACTGGAATAACACCCAAGCACCACCATCACCCAGAAAGAGAAAAAAATACAATTTGGAATATCAGAAAAGCATTACTCCCCGTTTTATAATTTTGCTTTTTCATTTTCCCACAATCTTATCTCTCCCCGACAATCAGATGCCTCAGTCCAGTTAGGAACAAAGACCTATATATTCCGAAAGGCAAGAGAGAAAAGAGCTGGTCACAGCCTGGCAATGCCTGCCAGTCTGCCATCCCTTGTCCTTCTGTCTTTCCCTGTCCATCTGTCTGTCCTTCTACCAGGTCTAGAGAGGGCTCGAGCTCGAGGCCCTCCCGTTGATCGTCGATTTGCTCGAGCGGGCCCAGTAACGTCTCCATTGGAGACTTTGTTGTTACTGTGTCTGGCATATCGAATACTCTCGGTAGCTTGCCGGGCTCTCCGAGAGGGGCGGAGGAATCGAACTCGGGTCGGCCATGTTGGCCGCTTGTAAGGTGAACGCCCTACCCGCTGTGCTATCGCTCCAGCCCCTAGAGAAAAAAAAAAAAAACGCATCATTATCATTATTATAGTAGCCACCAAGGCATGTGGCTTATATGAAACTTCACACAGATTTTTTTTTTTTGCTATAGTCCCAATATGCTGATGGATGTGTGTGTGTATGTGTGTGTGTGTGTGTGTGTGTGTGTGTGTTTTGAAGGACAGAGTAAGCTGGGCAGTTTAGTTGGGCTGGTATTAACTTCTTTTTCTCACAAAGGGGTTTTCCCCTGTCAATTGCTCTATGGTCTCAGGATGAAAGCTGAGCTGGCGGGCGCACAAAACATCCCCATTTCTCCGAGGCTTAGGGGGCAGTTCCTGGGTGTTGAGATCATTTCCATGTTTTCTCTGTGGAAATTAAAGAGCCGAATGCATCCTGAAAAGCCCGGAATGCCCATGCCAAGAGCTCTCCCCAGGGCCCACCCTTACCTGAGGACCAATGTTTTCCTCTTTTTCTTTAGAGAGCCAGAAAGATGAGAAGGCTCGAAATGAGGAGGAAGAAATAATCAAGGAGATGATGCAAGTGATTGAGCAAAGGGACAGGCTCGTAGATTCCTTGGAGAAACAACGCATCAAAGAAAAGGCCGAAGACCAGCACTTTGAAAGTTTCGTCCTCTCCATGGGCTGTCAGATGAGCAGGACATGAACAGGTGCAGTGAGCAGAGCCCCTCCCCCGGACGCCCGTGGACAGGACTCAGAGCACCTCAGGCACTTCCTTTGAACCTTTGAAGGACTGGTCCTACCTGGAACTTGTTACACCTGCTGCAATATTTTTTTTTAATTAAAATTTTCTTATTTGTACAACAGCTGCCCAAGATCCTTTCAGAGATTATAATGAAGAAAACACAAAGATTCTTGAAATTGGCGATTTTAACAGGTTTCTCAGACTAGAGATGACCTTGGCAAGCAAACAGCCATTGTCTTCCCTAGAAAGTGACACAGAAACCCGCTCTCTGGCTGCTTTTATCATTTAACTCCCCAGTTCAGAGAGTTGATGTATTTTTAAGAAGCTGCCTTTTTGTTAATACAGCCATATTTGCCACCCCCCCTTTTTTTTTCTGCATGGATGACCAGTTTCCAAATGTCAGAAAGCTGCTGCTACAGTTGAAAGATTAGGTTAATATTTAAATGGTGTTTCCAGAGAAAAAGGAAAAACCTTGAGATTACTGATTACAGAAAGCAAATAACTCATATGGCAGGTGTTAATTCAATCCCTGGTGAATTTAATTTACCAGGTGTATTTATAAGCTTTAATATAATATACATAAGCAATGAGAGTTTAATAAAACATTTGAGGCTGAATTTTACTTTAAGGAAGAAAGACAAAAGGAAAGAAAACTTTAACTTTCTACCAACAGGATGGTTGGTTTTTATCAAATTCTGTTAGCCTGGAAAAGCTGTTAGCTTGGAAAAGTAAGAGTTTTTGCTTTACAGTGCGGGCTCTCACATAAGAAGGACAAGTGCTCTACCATTGAGCCACACCCCCATCCTACAAAGGCCTTCTGATCTCAGTGTTTTCTCTTATGGCCCCTGAACTGTAATGAAAAATGTTTGGGTTTTTTTTGTTTGTTTTGGTTTGCTTTTTGGGTCACACCCAGCAATGCACAGGGGTTATTCCTGACTCTGCACTCAGGAATTACTCCTGGAGGTGTTGGGATGCTGGAAATCGAACCTGGGTCAGCCGCGTGCAAGGCAAACGCCCTACCCACTGTGCTATTGCTCCAGTCCTGTAATAAAGAATGTTTTAAGAATATTAATAATTTAGAAATGATCTTATCTGATAGTTAATAATGGCAAGGAAGGAAGGAAGGAAGGAAGGAAGGAAGGAAGGAAGGAAGGAAGGAAGGAAGATAGCTCTTATTTTTTGAAAGAATGCTGGTGAGGTTGATGCTGCTACTGAAAGTGAACGCATAAGTGTACGGATGATGACCTTCTCCTCACTGTCATTTTTATAGGTCCAGAGAAGTGTCCCCCATTTCTCCCCAGGGACTCCCGGCACTTCCCAGGGGATTCTACAGGACAAGCACAAAGTCACTCAGACTTTAAGGTGGAGCTGAGAATAGTGTGATCCTAGTGACCAAATCCCAAATGGGGTATTGGATTTGTTGGGTTTATTATTATTATATTTTTAATGTGAAAAGGAATCTGGGAAATGGGATTGATGAGCTTACGTGGGATCTTGGGATGTGTTAACAGTGAGTATAGGAACTAAAGAAAAGATTTTGATTTTGGTTTGGAGTCATACCCACTTCTGTTCGAGGGTTACTCCAGGCCCTGTGATCATTCCTGTTGCTTCTCAAGAGGAACATAACAGTACTGGGAATTGCTCTGGAGCCTACTGTGTGCAAAGCTAGTACTCTGCCCACTGTACTCTCTCTCCATTCTAAAGAAAAGACTTTAAATGATGATCTGTTTTTGTAAGGCATTTCTTTTCTCATCTTTTTTTTTTAAGATTCAGGTTGTTATTGACAAGAGAATGACTGGAAAATTAATCTCATTGTCTATTTAGCCTCTCATGAGTATTTAAAAACATTATGAGACCAAAGGCACTGTGCAACAGCTCTGATTAGACACCTAAGTCTAGCCAGCTAACAAACCAGAAATTAGAAACATAACTGGATTTCCCAAGTTAGCCAATGTTTAGAGTGGTATTAAAAGGCAACATTTCCAGGGGTACCAAGTTTTTCTTTATAAAAATCAGGTTTTCTGTGCCTAAATTCTATTATCAGGAAATATGTGTAAATATCTGTCAAAAAACTCTGTCCCTGGGGCTGGAGCAATAGTACAGCAGGTAGGATGTTTGCCTTGCACTCAGGTGACCCAGGTTCAATTCCCAGCATCCCATATGGTCCCCTAAATGCCACCAGGAGTAATTTCTGAATGTAGAGCCAGAAGTAACCCCTGAGCATTGCTGGGTGTGACCCAGAAAGCAAACAAACAAACAAACAAACAAAACCTCTGTCCCTTAAGGCTATTTATCTATTTTTATTTATGTATTTGGTGGGAAATTACTAGTAAGGTTTGCTCACAATTCTAGTTTCCTTGTGCTACAATTTCACCTATTAATGCTAAGCTATTAATATATAAGCTGTTTAATGTACAAGTAACCCAAATGTTGTATAGTTTCAAAGATGTGTACAGAAAGTCAAAATAATATTTTCAGTCATCAGGCTTTAAGAGGTGATATTAAATATATATGTATATATATGCAGGAATGTGATTTCAGTCTTTTCTGTCAATTACATATGGCATATTATTTGGTACTTGCATACATTTAACAGATGATGCTCAAATGTGTAGTGCCTAGCTTGTTATTGTACAAAAGAATTAATTGCCACTTATTTTAATTTGTCCTTTCCATCTGAAAAAAAGGATACTCCCAAGAGGACCCAGCAAAGAAGGTAGTTCTTGGCTCTTGTATTCTGTAAATAGATGAGAAACACAATTTGTTCACTTTCTCCCAAAGACTATATTCTTTGGTTTAAGGCTGAGTTTTATCTAACCAAGTGAAAACACAAATCCTCCACTTAACAATCTTCTACTCATGCCAACTTTCAGTTTGACCAGTACAGAAAAGCCATTCAAGGATCATTTCCAAAAGGACTCAAGTAATATTGCGGCTGTTGAACTATTTAAAATGATTCCATTCCTTTCTCACAACAAAGGATGTTCCACAACCTCCAAAATGTAAAATACTGTAATTTTCTGATGACCAGTTCTTTGTATGCAATATGAGTGGGATTATGATGAAGACAGTCAGGGCCTTTACTACCCCACAAAAGAACACTTGTGACTCAGGCTGAACAATTTAGGACTCTAGAACAAAAAGGCCTGGCCTCGGGTCCTATTTCACACTAAGTCATAGAGCTTCTGAAATCAGCCAAAGGAGCATAGCAGTTATAAGTTCAGTTCAGAATCCTATATAAGTTGGAACGAGAAGACAATTCTTAACTCTGCTCACCCAAATCATTCATGCATTGAACTATTGGTTTAATTCGCATTCTTTTGTGGGGTTCTGCAGCTGTGAGTTGAGTGCTGGGATACAGAAATTTAGTGCTCCACACTCCCCACAAACAAATACAAAGATAAACAATTACCACTTCCAAATGGCTATAAAAATACAAGACTTCCTTTTCAATGTTAAGCCTCACTCTTCTACCCTCATGGTAGCACAGAGACTTACATCCTCAACAACATGCTTCTTTGGCAATAAAAACAAGTTTGTGTTTCTAAAACTGTGATAAATAATACCAGGTTGTGTGGTTTTATTTAAACCTTGACTTGGGCAGTGTTCAGCAGTTGGGAATCAATCAATGCTGAGCTGTAGCATGTTAATTACAAGGGCGAAAGGAAGTGGCAGGTGTTGCTAACTCTGATGAGCTGCAATGAAATTGATGTTTTCTGCATTCTGGAGGCAAATGACACTTCGGGCAGTGTCTTCCCAGGAAGCAGATTTCCAGGTTTTTCCCTTGCAAACTGAAAATGGCAGTATTTCCTTCCCAGGTGGTGGAGTAGAGCAACCCTCCCCCTCCCCTAAACAGAGCAGAGGTGGCAGGGAGCAGCTGGAACTGCCACAGGAGAGAGAGTGGCAGTCACCAGCTTTGGGGAGCGCCGAGGTAGGAGTTTATTGTAATAAGAAGATTCACGCACAGGGGAGCGTGTACTATTTCCCCGACTGTTTATCTTCTAACCTCACTGCTGAGAAGCTTGTAAAAGATTAATTTGTTCCAACAATTGGGAACGATCAGTGCGGGATTGAAGTGTGTTACGTGGGCACTGCTATAAATACTGAAATGAACGAAGAATAAATGGTTTTGTGTTTCTGAAAGAATCAAAACATTTTCATGTGGGCTGGGTCTGGCACCTGGGTGGCAAGGCGGGCGGCGGCCCCTTCCTTTCCTTCCAACCTGTCAGGGATTGCCGGCAGGAGGCAGAGCATCCTCAGAGCCTTTATTCCCTCTGGGGCACCTGGAGGGACTTACCTTATCAGCAAATCGGATTCTGCTGGGAGGAGAGAAGGCTCACCTGAGTCTCTCCACAAAGCAAGCACTTCTCCGAAAGGGGGAGTTATCAGCCCTGGGACCTAGCCAAGTTCCATGTCTGTGTCTCTTCCCCGGCACAGACTGGTTTTGGATTTCCTTCACTCAACAGGAAAGAGCCTTTCCATGCACTGAGCTGGCCTCTTCCCTTCAAAGCTCACTGTTTCTGGGCAAACTTCTTTTTCTCTTTGTTCTGTTCTTATTTCCAGTGCCTGCAGACTCACGAATTGTGGGTGTCAAATTGTGGGCCAGAATTCCACATCAAGTTAGGCAAGTGGTCAGTGCCCCCCTCTCCCCCCACTCACACCCAGTTTTCCTGACCCTTTTGTCAGCTGATGAATTATTTGCGATGATTCATTTTCTCCGCTGAGTCCCAGCCCCGAGTAAACAGGAGGAGCAGGGAGGGCCATTTTGCAAGAACAAACATGCTGAGGGAGGGAGAAAAGGCCCTTTGCTAGAGTTTGCAGCCTCTTTCCCTTCCTGCTCTTCCTCCTCCTCCTCTTTCTCTCTGCCACACTCTCAGAGCTCTTAGCTGGTGTGGGGGCTCCAACTCCAGGCCCCTCAGACTTTAGGGCACGCTTGGTCATTTCCTATCCCTCCCTCACAGCATTCTTCTAGAGCTAAAAAAGCCAACCCCAAAGCTGCTGAGAGTTGTTCTTATCTGCCAGCTGCTGGGCTAAACTAAATGCAATAACCCTGACAGCAAAATTACCAAAGCAATCTTGAAATCCTGGATTAAATCCTGAAAGCAAAATCCTTAAGATCATCAACCCAGGGAGGCTGGAGCGATAGCACAGCGGATAGGGCATTTGCCTTGCACGCCGCTGACTCAGGTTCGATTCCCAGTATCCCATATAGTTCCCCGAGCACAGCCAGGAGTAATTCCTGAGTGCAGAGCCAGGAGTAACCTCTGTGTTTCGCTGGGTGTGACCAAAAAAGAAAAAAAAACATAATCAACCCACCATTCTGCTTTGGAGACCCAGAGATTCTGGAATTTACTGGAAGTTTGATGCACCTAGGGACACCGAGGGAAGGGAGGATGCTCCTTCCCTTTTTCTCCCAGATCCTTTCCCAGTGCCATCCTCTCCCAGACAAAAAGGCCCAGGCCCATCTCTGCTCAGGAGAAAGCCGGGCATAGAAGCCAGAGCGGCTACTTGAAAGAATTGTGTTTCCTTCCATACTTCATTGCTTTTTTGTTTTCTGCCAGCATTGGTTTGGGGGGGTCACACCTAGTGGTGCTCAGAGATCAATTCCAGCAGTACTCAGGGGACCATATGCAGTGCTGGGGATCAAACTGGGGTTGTCT